AGAACAAAAAATATATATCTTCTTATTAGAGTTAAAACCTAATGCCTGAGAAATAGTTTTACTAAATTTAATGATACAACATGAAAGGCCTATTTAAACCTTACATTCCATAGTTTGAAGAATCATCTTACTTCAAACATTAAAATATGCAAAAAGTATGCAGAAGCTCACAATTCTATCTAATTTAATTTTGCAAAAAAAGTTTTGTGACAACAGTTTTTATCAAAAAATTTTACGTTTCAATAAAAATCATGATTTATAAACTAAAGAGCGTAAAATAAAGAATACTTACGAAACAAAAAAAACGATTCAAAAAATTCCTCATATTAAAATTAAAAACTTTAATGTTTCTTTTTGCTTTTTTTATTCATAATCGGACGTGGAAAACCATTCTATAGAAAACTATCATCAATTAAAAAAAATTTTTTACAAGTAAAAATTTTCATTATAAAAATTTTAACACTTACCTGCTTTATAAATCCAGAGAATTGCAAATTGATATGTTCTTCATTTGAAAATTTTATTCTCAAATAGTATATACATAGATTATCCCTTCATTACTTTAAGATGACATACCACACAATAAAATTTTATAATTGCAAGATCTCGATATGAATTTCACTATGTAACTTAAAAACAGAATAGTTGAATTCTAATTGAAATTTATTATTCAAAATTAAAAAATACTTACCAAGAAAACGATCAAAATTTATTCATAATCAGCATAAATGATATTATTTCAAGTAATTTGGATGATTCTTTATTGTTGTTGTCCGAATTATATAGATTCAAAAATATGTACTATTCTATAACTATTACAGTTCTGCATGTTCTGAAATTAGGGGAGAGGAGGGCACATGTGAACAGGGGGCACATGTGAACATGGTATGTTTTACCAATATGATTTGAAACGAAAAATATCGAAGAATTTTCAATTGATGGTAGTACTAGTCCTACCTCTCTGAAAAACTTTCAGAACAATGAGACATTTTGTTGTTCTATTCTGACAATTTCTTTGTATTAGCTGGTGTTGCATATATTATAATCACTCGCTTCTTCAAGTGAAAGCATAATATATATCAACTAATAAACTAAAATTAACTATTGCAGATCATTATATGAACATTCAAGTAAGTTTATGACAAGTATTCTTTTTTTTTACTCAATTAAAAATTCTTTATTTTTCAAGTTAGGTTTAAGAAGGATGATGGGGCACTTATGAACAAAACATCTGGGGCAGATGTGAACAGTTCACAAGTGCCCCTACATAATATTAAGATTATTATCCTCATGATATTATAAATTTAAAAAATATGTATGCATTTAAAATTATTATTATTTAATTTTCCATAATTAATTTATTAATTTTTCCTTTAAAAAAAATTTTTTTTAATTAAATGGTTGATCGCGCATCACGCATATTAACTGATACACCTGAGAAAATAGAATTGCTAAAGCTACAAATGAAAAGATAGAAAAAATGAAAAAAAAAAAGCATGAAAGAGTATTAAAGAAGAAAGAAAAAGGCCCATTGCAACTCCCGTGGAACATGAAGTTGCGAAAAACCCAATAACGGAAAAATTATTGTACAGCAGAAAAATTATTTTCTTATTGACAGTACTGTTGTACAATTTAAATTCACATAGTAAGCTACAACCCCCTCAGTATAATGAGTATCTATATCTGTTATATTAAAGATTTTTTTTCCTTGAAATATGATGATTGCTTTGTGTTTTAATCTTGTTCATATGTGCCCCAGGCATGTTCACATGTGCCCCCAGTTGGGGCACATGTGAACAATTGAAGTCATTTTTCTAAAATATTATAAAGTAAAGAAATATTTTATTGAAAAATCTCAAAAAATTCCATAAGACAAAGAAAAGACTATTTAAACATATGGACTTCTTTACTATGAAAAATTGATGATATTTTTTGAAAAATGAAGAAATAAAAAAAATTGTTCACATGTGCACTATTATTGACGACAATGATGTTAAAGTAAGAATAATGATGTATATTAGTTAAAATTTAAAAAAAATAACCTATCTACTAAAAAACCGAAGTTCATGGAAAAAAGACAGTTATTTTGGAGATATTATTATCCGGTATACCAATATTAGTACCAATGCTTAATTAATGCTGGTAATATGCATTAACAGAAATAAAAAAAAATAAGCTGCGTGCTAAATGGCTAAGTTAATAGATAAAAGCTTAATGGAAAATTCGTTTAAATGAGCCGTAGAAAATCACTATACGCAGATGACGTTTAACTAATTTTGGTAATATGTACTACTGCTACTATGGAAATTGGTGCAGTTTTAATAAGAATTCCACAACGGGTTTTCCGTAGTTTCAGAAAGTATTTTTCCAGTAGTAGCCAAGATAGTGCATTAATAGTCAGTGAGAGAAAAATTCAGACTTCAAAGTCCTTATTTAATATTGAAAATTGAATTTTTCATTGCCTGCAAAGTTTTTTATTTTATTTTTTTTTCACTTAAAAATAGTTTTTTGATTTAAATTTTATTATTTTTGCATTTCGTAGTTAATATTTATTTCATTTTTATTACTTTTATATTTTTATTATTATTAATTTAAAACAAATATATGAATTTTCGGTTTACTAAATCTGCGACCATTATCATCATAGACATTTCTTTTTGTTTGTGCATTTCTTTTTGTTTGCAAATATATGCCGGCTAAACGAATCGCTATTAGTCCATCGGCACCTCAAGTGAGTTAAAAAAGACCTACCCGTGTGTCATAAATACCGGAGCAACGGGGAAAAGACTTGAAACTAATCGAGAATACACAGCTCTAACATGTTCTTTAGAAATACTAGCCACGGGAAAAAAGACTGTTAACCAAATGACAACACACTGCTCAAACCCATTTGTCCGAAACATCAAAACAACGGGAAAGATGACTGTTAATCAAACGACAACACATTGCTCAAGCTCGTTCGTCTGGAACATCAGAGCAACGAGAAAGAAGACTGTTATCCAAACGACTACACTCTGCTCATTTTTCAGTAGTCTTGAAAAATCTTAGCTACCACTCATTTATTTTTCCAGGTCATGGGAACCCTGTTCATCTACGAGATGCAACAATTAATGGTGGTAACGTTAATCCTAATGATTTGGGGGAAATTATTATACTGTCGGCTACCTTTAGAAATCCAAGGCACGTGCTTGAATACTCGCTGGATATAATGGCATCTGTTTCTGCATATGGGTGCCCTTATATATTTAAAACATTCACATGCAACCCTGAATGGGTAGAAATTGAAGAGTTTTTGTTACCCTGACAATCGTCATGATATTACCGCACGCGTTTTCAAATGATTTCATTGTGAAGCGTCATTGTTCTGGAGAGACACGCTGTTGGGCTTACTCTATCGAGCGGTACACAGGAGGTTTGTCACATGTATACATTTTTGTTTTGCTTTTTTGAAAAATTACATTATGCCAAATTGATTTGGTCATATCATCAGAAATACCTGATATGTACATTGATACAGACTTATTTCGGATTAACATCTAAAACATGATTCATGGTTCATGCAGCTCACTCAACGAAAATGCATGCCCGATGGAAAATGCACAAATGATATCCAAGATAATTAATTGCTGAGACTATTACTGGGGCAATGACGGTTATCCGCCTTATCGCCGACGGTCAAGAGAAGATGACAGAAGATTCGTCATTTTAAAAATCCGAAATAATGATAACAAACATACAAGGCTCACATCAATGTCCAAACTTGTAATTCAGTGAATGCGATCTAATACATCTGTAAAAATGCAAATAAAAGAAGCGACATGGCAGTTTTTGGATTGTGAAATTCAACTTCAGTGAAGTCAGTCAATATCAACTGGAACACTACATTAGTAGCAACGAAGCAGTCTGCCTCATATTATTACTTCTAATTCATAAACGACATCAAACAGTTCTTCATTTGGCAGTGCACATTGAAAATGGACACCGCGTGTATTAGAAAATAACACTTCAAAAGCACTGTCACCACCACAAACAACGACAACGGCATGCATTTGCAAAAAGGCTACTTTATTGAGAGGTGCCAAAACATTATACATGGAATGCATCGGAGAAATTTTTTCAACGTCGAAAGCAAGGTAAAGCAGTTGAAGGACATCCCAATTTATATTCGACTGATGCATTAGGACGTCTCTACACTATCCACCCCAACAATGCAGAATGCTTCTACTTACGATTACTATTAGTCAACATGCGTGGACAGACGTAGTTTCAAGAATTAAAAACAGTAAACAATGACGCTAAGATTGCCAAAAATTAAACCTTCTAGAAAACGACGCAAATTAGGACCGTTCAATGACTGATGCATCCAATACTGTTCGACCTCAATAAATACGCACGTTATTTGCAATAATATCGACGATGTGTTTTATAAAAAACCCAAAAGATCTTATGAAAAATACAAAGACAACATGAGTGGATACATACCACATCGTTTACGTGAAACAAAACAAAATCTGCTCAGTCACTTCTCATCTGAGGTATGTAATGAAGCCTTAATTTCAATCGAGGACGTATGGTTAACAATTTTCAATTAAATACTTACAACAGGGAACTCCTAAGCCGAATCTATGTACAAAAAATCTTTTTGATTATAATTTTCAACACCAAGCATACTTTGATGTCGACAAACTAAGTTCATTCGTTCAATAAAACTTTTCAAAATTGGTTTCCGAAAAAGGCTAAGCATGGGGCAAAATTTTGACTGCTGTTACAAACCGAAGCCGTGGATCATTTTTCTTAGACGCACCTGGAAGTACAGGTAAAAAATTTCCAATTACCCTTATTCTGGACACCATTTGTTCCCAAAATAAAATTGCATAGGAAATGGCATCCTCTTCAATTGCTGCAACACTTTTGGATGGCGGCCAAACAGCGCATTCAACTCTTAAATTGCTTGTGAATATGCAATTCACTGAAACACCCACACAGAGGAAAATTCTGTAATGGGTAGCATACTTCAATCGTGCCAACTTATTAAATGGGATGACTGTGCTATGGCACGCAGAAAAGCATTAAAGGCACTTCATCATACACTAAGAGATTTGAGAGAAAATGAAACTGCTATAGGTATGACATCAATAATCCCATTCTATAAGAATTTCCAGGTAATGTAAGAACATATAAGTCTACTGTAATAGATCAAAACAAAGTAGTCAACTTCCCAACTAATGGCTTGGCATGCCATCGCTAGTGTCAACATTGCAAATTGGCATACCGATCATTCTTCTCGGAAAAATCCACCCATACTTTGCAACGGTACGTGACTTTCAGTAAAATGAATAATGACCTACATTCTCGAAACTAAAATTCTGAATGACAAATTTAGAGGAGAAGATTTTTTGCCCCTGCGTATCCCAATGATCCTAACAGATATGCCATTCGAATTTAAGCGTTTGCTGTTGCCATGACAATCAACAAAGCACAAGGGCAGTCATTACAAGTATGCGGACTAAAATTTTAAAATCCGTGCTATGTGGCCTGCTCACGATCGAAAGGTATTCTAATTTATTCGTGTACTCTCCGAACGGTAAGACAATGTATTCAAAAGCACTTGAATAAATGTGTTTACAACGAGCCGTAAAGTTGTCAACTGCTTTTGATGCAAATTATTTTCCTTTCAATATACATAGTTTCCATTAAATAAAATTAAGACTGAAAACATTGAAGCGCGCAGGGTACAGCTAGCTACTCTATATTTATGTTTTTATCATGCTTCTTACTCGTTTTCGCAATTTTCCCCCTGTTCTGTGTACGTTGAAGTTTGTATGTGAGATTCCAATTAGCTTTTATTATTTATTTTTAAACGACTGAAAAAAAGTCATGTGAAATGTCTTGAAATTTAATTGAGTAAGAAAAAGCATATTTACCTACTAAAGCATATTGACTGTTCAGTATAGTGTTATAGTGCTACCTGCGCATTTATGTTTAGCACTCTCTTTAACTTCTGCACTAACACTATGAGTGTAGAGAGCATTTTAAGAATATATTATTTTTTGTTAAGGATTCTTCTGATTCCTTTTGAAACATTTTTTACAATGCTGTTTTCATGTCAGCTCACGTTGAAACAGTAATACACAATACGCTGTTTATAAATTGTAAGCGAACAATTCAACGTAGGAGGTTGAATAGAATCAAAAAATAATTAATAAGAATAGTGCAAAATTTAAATATAAGAAAAGGGCATTCAAGTGATCTTTAACAATGCATTTTTGCAATTTCAATACTGCGAGCAAACTACACGACGCCGGAAAGGGATGGGGGATAGAACGCTCGCCTTCTAATGAAGCGAACGAATCCCAAGAGGGTCGGTATTTTTTACAGTAATATAAATTTTTACGGGAATATATTACGGGACAAAAATCTGATGAACCGTAATTTTTAAAGTAATAATTACCATTAGATTCCTCAATTACTCTAATCATATAAATATTACTGTAAAAATTACGGTGTAAAATTTTATGGTAGATATAAAATTTTACGGATGATGCACCCAAGAAGACGATACTTTATACTATAATTTGATCCTGCATTTTGTACAGTCTTGTCCTAGATTAGAAAGATATGTTATTAGATTTATTAATTCAAGAAACCAGTATAAAAAGCAATCTAACGTTTAAGTTCCCTTAATTATTAAAGTATATGCAACATTACTTCTAAAAAATTAAGCCAAATAAAAGAAAATTTTTCTTTTATAGCATATCTTAATATTTTTATATTACTTAATAGGTTTGAAGTTATTATTACAGTTTGAAGATAATTATAAAGAAATATTTGAGGAAAATGCCATGTGCAAACTGCTATACATTCGCTACGTATCAAAAAAAAATCTAATTTAATTATTTAAATAAATCTGATCTAATTCTAAAAAAGAAAAAGATTTTTTCAATTAAATTAGGTTTTAGCTAGATTATATTTAGATTTTTAAAATTAGATTTTAGCTCTTTTTCTGGTAATCATGTGTCCTTCGAATGCGCAGATATGTATCCGGAAGCATGTAAACTCTCTTTACACACATAGTATCCCCAAGAGATTTTGAGCGCGCTGATTGGCTTTCTCGGCAACGCCATCTGTGACGTATGGCTATTTCATTCTGCCATGCTTGTTATTTTCAGCATAGAGTGATTTCTATACTCCAGCTTTTGTGTACAAACTTGAAATGTCAGTTTTTTCAACAGAGAAACTGCCTTCTTCATTTAAAAATGAAGTAAAAAATATTTCCTCAAATACCATTACCCTTAGAAGTAATGTTCTAAATTTAGACGATTGCAATAGGTGGGTAAGGGAATTTGGGGAATTTACCAATACGAAATGGAATTCTAGAACATCCAAACCTCATGGAAAAAGGTTTGTTTGTAGGTAAATAACTAGTTTAGTTATTTTTAAAAAAAATTTGTATTTA